ATCAACGTCGCCCGCAGCCGTAAAGTTACCATGTTCAGTCGATAATCAAAGTGTAGGGCGAAGGTGGCGCCGACGATCGACACCGCGACGAGGCAAGCAGAGAAAACCAGCATCATGTTACCTTCTTCACCGGTGTCACTGACCGCAGTAACGATTCTGCCGAGGAGAAAAGGGCTGATGAACGTGCAGGCATCGCTAACCAGCTTCATGATCGCCAGCGGATAAAACTGACCGCCAAACGCCGTGCTGATCTTCTTCAACAGCGACAGGTTAGGTAAAAGCAACTTAGTAACAAAGTTCTTCTGGAGGTACCCAATGCTCAAAGATGCCGGCAATCGAAAGAGATCGTCAACGGAACGCAGCTGTCGAAGGTAGCCCTTCTTCATCAGCCCGGTGGTCCAGTAAAAACACAGCTTCGAATGCCAGCTGCAACCGTCGCCGCCGTTTCGGAGAACTACGTAAGGTTCAGGTGAAACCGCAGATGATTCGCACCCACTGCTTTGTAGAAGTTCAAATCCCACCTCTGATACGACTCGATAAGAAATATACCTTGGAACAAATGCCAACGCCATGCTCAGCAGAACAACTGCGTGACCGATGAACAGCGGACAAATTTGGTGCCACTGGTAGCTGTCATACATCTGCACCGCTAAGCTAGCGATGACCAGACACCAGCAGACATTTAAATACGCGGTAGAAATATAAGTTCGTAATTTCAACATTTGAATCCATAGACACAACGACACAATAAACGTCCCAAAGGCTAAGATGAGCAGAAACGCCGTACTGGCCGGAAATCGACCAGTCAGTAAGGACAGCGTAACAACAAGTTCTCCAAGCACGACCAACAGATTCAACAATGACAACAAGATTTCAACGTAACAACATGTTCGCAATGATGAATGCGAAAATACTGGTCGAAAAGCGATGTTTCTCAACTGCACGATCATGTACACGGCAAGACCAATCAAAGTCGCCAACCATGGGAAAATTATGACCACTTCTGCACATGTCGTAAAACTAGATGTCTTGGAATTCCAAAGTGCAAAAGTTTCCGATTCGTTGACTGAATACTCACAGAAGTCTCGTAGGAAAATCATCGCGTGGCTCGAAGACCATTACCAGCACCCAAACTAAAACTCTACAGGGCTTATAAATTTTTACATTTCCGTACCTTGAGTTATTTAGAATAAAAGAATTTTCCCAGAATCAATCATCAAAAACAGTAACAGTGATATGACTAATACTGTAATATAATTTTTATAAAAACAAAGTTTATTACATATTTGACTCTCGTAAAAACTGCAAACAAATTTTTTCACTAACAATGCTACCGCACAACCTGCATAAAATACAGAATAATATTAGCGCAAAGTTTTTGAAAACAGAATGTGTGATCGCTTCACCGATTTATCGCGTTGCTTCATTTGAAAGGAAACGTCGAACGGGCAGCCGAAGTTCAGGTAAGGAGTAGAATCATCACGCCGTCGTCTAGTCGATCAACTTCTTGGCTTTAAAGTACCGTTGCAGATACAACACCTGCCAGGTGGCCAACGACAGCAAACACATCATTGAAAAAACGCTGAGATACAGTACCCGAGAATTTGTAGATTCTAAAAACAAGCGAAAAAAATGTTTAAAAATACGTAATAACATTATTTACAAAATCTGTGCGGATGTGTCACTGGTATGTGCTACAACAATCATGAAACAAATATACACATACAAAGCGAAATTTCATCAATCATGCTAAACAAACAGTAATATTATACATCGTCTGTGGACTGACCAAACTCGAAGGAGAAGAAATGGAAGGAAGGGAAAAAAGGAAAAGGTGCAGGAGAAGGATACAAAAAACAGAAATAAAGACAAACGAAGAAATGTGGGGTGGGCAAATAAAACGAGGAGAATAACGAAAATTGAAAAACAACGGAATAAGGATGAGGTTAACGAGAACAGAACCACGAAAAAATCTACGGAAATTTCGTTTCTAAGGAATATTAACTGGAGGTCAAGGATATATTCAATTATGTGGTCCATTACGGAGAGAAACGAAAAGGTTGCTTTCTGCAATTGTTTGCTGAACCCCTTTCGGCTTAAGGATATACTAAGAACTACAGAAAATACAAAAAACACCGTTGTATAAATAAAACTGCTACACAATTGAGAATTAAAAATATACCTATACATCTATATAGATATCTACATATATCTAGACCGAGATCCATACTGTTACTGTATATGCCGATAGACCGTATATACGATGAAATGACATCGCTATACTTGCTTAGCGCATGTTGTACAGTCAATATAAGGGTGTACAATGTGCACCTATATTCTATCCTGCAGTGCGATTTATAGCATATGCACATACTATACAGAATAAAAATACAGAGTAATGCTACTGCAAAATATAACTTATGCACGGAAAGCTGCGAATGCGGCTCTACTCTAGACTATTACATCATACGAAGCCTCTGCGCATACACGATATGAGTGTAGGGCATATCTCACATAATGAAGAATTTCGTTCGTGTATTGGTAGTCATACTATAAACTGCACAGAAACTGCTTATTGAAACAACGCAATACTTCCTCCACAAGAAGTACTACACCAGTACCAACGTTTCGGCCCGTATCTCCCGGTTCTCCTTTAAATTAAAGAAGGCAGTATTTTTCAGCTTGAAGTCATCTGTGACAGCTTATTTGTTTTGAACCTGGAAAACTCACATTGCCTTCAACTTTAGCAAGGCATAAAAGAGAGGGGCCGAAACGATGATAAACAAACACATGTACTGCACTCTGCGATAAAAGAACACTTTATCCAAATTTTGTAATATTCGGCAATACTGTAAAACCCAGACGATATACAGTATACAAGAACCAACGTGAATATAATCACCTCTAATGTTATGTTGGCTACCGTATCATATAATATTTTTCGTTGTTATCAGGAATCACAAAGAATTATCCGTTTTTAAAACGTAGCTATTGAGTTCTTACTACTAAATAACTTCTAAATGAATAGAGTGATGCAAGACAAATCTAACAATGATGCTCAAATACCACGGACTGTCAGCTTCCAAAAACCACAACCCCCCAGGAACTACAGGCAAAGCAGGGGTATACACGCAATGAATTAGATGCATGGAACAGTTAATCATTAAATAAAGTAGCTATGTACCAGGTATTCAGGCACATATTTGCAGATGATCAGATATAATTCAACAGTACAGATATTTTACTACATTATTACGCTGTTGTAGAGAATGACACTGATTGAAAATTATTTAAATATATTAAGAACAACACATAAACAGTAGCGCGGTACCGTTGGTAGTGCGCATTTCCTCTTCCCTTTTGCGCATGTACGCAAAGTCCTGCACAATACTTTCAGTTAGGTCTTCCAAACGCTTTAATTCCATTTCAAGCGGCTTCAGTTTTTCAACCTTTGCTAACTATAAAAATAAGTACATATAATGTACATATAGCTTTTAGCAGAAAACAGAAAAACGGTGAATGACATCATCTCAATAATATGTGAAGTAAATATGACTTAAAAACAGTACTACAAAAGGTCCAGTATTCGATTCATAACAGACTGTTTCCTAAATCATGCAAAGTAGAGAAGTGAACTTCTATCCTGTTCTGCCACTGGAAAACTGTTTTAAACGAAACAATTTAATTCAATTATCATGCCTAACCACACACAATTCTTAACGAGTAATTGTGGAAATACCCTGATAATATACAAGAAAATGGACAGAATTATGTCTCGTGGTTGTTCTCTTTGTATCAACTAGTATAACAGACACTTTCTCCTCTTATGCAGGTTACAGTCTGACATTCGAAATATCTCGGTGAAAAAACGACGAACATAATGACTATCCTTACACTGGATTTACACGGCAAAAATTGTAAAGTTAGGTAATTTAAAGGTGTTACTGCGATACTTCGAGACGGGTGGCAGTCATTAATTAAAGTACAGCGACTCTGCGCCACAACACATTGGGTCATGACTATCATCCATCGAACGATACCGCAGGATCGCTGTAACGTAACGTTAATTTACAATTTTTGCCATGCAAATCCTTAATCAGTATATAAAGGATTATATTTACCGGCGGAATCGGTAAGTTCCCGTTTTTAGTAGCTGCCTCAGAACATATAGGTATTCTTTTCTTTTATTTTCTAATAATGACGTTGCCGGTGACCTTCGCTGTCAACGGTAGAACTTGCTCTAGAGAACAAATGATGCAAAATGCATCTACTGCAGGAGCTCAAACGCCATCACCTGCTGAAATGCAGTCTTCACGGGCAACTAGGATCAAGGAGTGGCATAAGATGTTCAGAAACCCAGTGTGATAGAAATGCACCGATATTCGCTAATTATATTCTGGATTTTCTTTTTCATAATTATTTACAAGCTGAACATTCGATAAGGATTTACAAGCTGAACACTTACAATTATTTACAAGCTGAACACTCATTATAATCAGCACAATTTCACAAGTAGTATGGATTGAACGGTTAAAGACACAAACGGAAAGCAGATCTTAAAGCTTTTGTTTTACTGCAAGCCATCATTTACCTTCAAGATGGTAAATGCTGTGTAGTCGAAAGTTTGGCAGAAAAACAGACTATAAAATCGGTCTTACGGTAGCATCTACAGGCACTGAATCCATTTTACTTATTATAATTAGTATAAAAATGATGACTAGCCTGAAGTACTAAAGAGTGAACAGCACTAATGATAAAATTCGGAACTACTTTAAGGCTACGTCAGAAGGTGCTAAAACGTTCCCATACACATGTTAATGAAGAGCGGGTTAATTAAACAATTGATCAAATATGGTGGGAGGGAGAGGCGCAATGAAAAGTCATACGGTCTTGCACGTCAGAACTGCCGTTCCGTTAGGAAGATATTCATTCGCTTGAAAGTTCGCTGCAACCAGTCAAGAATAGAACAGCAAGTCGCAAACGAACGAACAATACAGACATATTTTGAGATGAAAAGGCTGAAGATAGAGCTATCCAGTTTCACGAAGAGTTCAATTCAACTTGCTTCGTGGATATTGCGAATCTTCATAAAACAAAGTCATATATACTATACAAAGACAATAGCAATACTGCACCATGTTACGACAGCTCCATGAAACATGTCATAGAATAACAGTTATACATGTAAATGTCACCTGCAGAAGTAAGTACTGCATAATGTTTTTAGCTAAGGGAACGCTATATAATACGTGATTATCGGTTGCAACATCACCTGAATGATCTGAGCCTTCACTTAATACGAACAAAGTCAACAGGCAGATAAATACATAAATTCAGTACCTCTTCATAGTTTTTCGCCTCCACTCCATGTTTCAAGGTGAGGAACACTTCTCGGTTAGTGGCGTGCACCCCTAAAAACAGCTGCTAGCAACAACGTCGCACGTCATAGCATAATGCAGACGATTACCGACAGGCAGTCTGGACGCGACGCAGATTTCGAAAACGTCGTAATCATCGGCGCTAAACGCGAATTTGCCGTGTTCATCAGTGAAGTCCTCTCGCTTGAAAAGAATATGGCCTCTCGTGTCCGACACCTGAGAAGCAGAAATCTATTAGTCAAACCACAGGTTCTAGGTTTAAAGACTACAATAGCTACGAATAAGATAAAGTAAAATCCTTTGTTTTACCGCCAATTTACGTAATTTTTTTTGACAAAACCGAACTCAATACCTGACAGTATTCTACAGTTAAGAAGTACTCACGATGATTTCATTCTTCTGACCATTGGCGGCGCTGAATGTGTATTCTCCTGTTACCACCTCATTCTTGTGCATCTCATCTTTCAAGCACTCCTTCTCATTCGGCTTTAGCGTCATGCCCAAACCCGCGACATGCCGTATAACGATTAACATAGTACAAAATGTACAGATAATGCTTCGATGCATCCTAAACAAAAATATAACTAATTTATACAAATAAACTATTATTATTCAGCTTCAGACCTCTGGTTACGAGTCATTTTTGCCCGGCAAAATCATTTCCTAACAAGTCATTCAGATCCAACACAATCTTAAAGCAACGGCGAATCCCTGCATGGAAACACACGTCGTCAGAAACACGTTGAAGGCGATTCTCAAGTAAATATACTTTACACTGTATTTTAAATTTCCGTTAAGAGCTATTCACCTTCTATCAGTTATTTCCTAGTCATCTTTAGCATAATACACATTTTTGCAAGCATACCAACCAAAGATATTTTAGAAATTACCCTGGAAGAACAAATAATGCAAAACGATATTGTTCTTCCTACCGGACGAGCGAAAACAGATGTCCTGGATGCCATACTCAACCCGACGACTCCTACCTACTGAACTATTGCCAGCAGACTGACTGCACCTTATCATTATCAGTATCTCCCATGGCAAAAGTTCGAAGAAGCAAAATTGGACTCAGCGGAACTGACAGTAGTGGCGTGTTATTATCATGTAGATGATATTTCGGTTCTATGGCCGGAGGGAAAGGAAGAATGAATGCAGGCGATTAGTAAATATCTCAGATCTACCAGCAAACATATTCGGTCTATCCATCAATTATAAGAAAGTGAAAGTTTCAATCTTTAGATGTGCTGGTGTACAGGTTGGATGGAATATCAATCACCACTGTATACAAGAAAGCGATTCACACTGGACACAACTTCGAATGTCTTTCTCACACTCTAATGTGCAAGAACGTTGAACCGGTTCAAGCATCATACCTCTTAACATAAAAGTGTGACCCGATTTCATTCCGACAGGAATTTTCCAAACTACAGGATATCGGATAACCAGCCATCCATCATTCATGGACACTTGAATAGAGTAAATTCACTAGTCCAAAACGAGTCACTAGCACCAGGGAGGATTCCTGAATCCTCCATACCGCAATCATCTCCTGCAACACAACATCTTCATGGCAAATCAAAGGCTGGCATTATTTCAGAGCATGAAATTAAGTATTTGCGTTTTGTACCATTGAACTGAAGAAATATTCTATGTATCTTTACATGTCATTTAAGATTGCTCGGACTTCAGTAAAGATTCTTCGATGTTCCCACATGTCGAGCACAAACACGTCAGGCCATTTTATCCTTGGAAGTTTGTATCTAGTTCCTTCCTGCTATTTCTTCTACGCACAGGTGCCATTTCATCAGAGGACGCCCTAGTGGTTGCTTTCTTTCCATCAAATAACATTCGACAATGCGCTAGGTCAGTCGGTTGTCTCAGACCTGGGTTTGCCCTACGGGTCTAGCTCTCTCTCAAGATTCGAACCATCTCTTCCACGTCACTCCATTTGGGGAGAATTTCGTTATCGATATGGTAACGGAGAGTTATTCTAAGCATTCTTTGTTACACCGCCCTCTCCGTCACAGCCAATATGTTTTCTTTAGCCTTCCTCGGTGCCCACGCTTCGCATCCCTGCGTAATTGCGTTCAACACAACGCTGTTGTAAAGGCGAGCACCGTCTATCTGGTCTGATACTATGAAGAAATCGATGATACTGTAGAATTTGCGCCATTCGGCAGCCCTCCGACGTATAACTTTCGGTCGGAGATCATGACGCATATTCAATTCTTGGCCCAAATAGACATAGTTGTTGACTTCTTCGAAATCCGCGCCGTACCAGCAAATTTGCCTAGGATATGCCAACACTTTGTGCCACCTTCGTTTTCATTGCGTTGTTTTACAGATCCACTTCTGAACTTCGTTAAGCTCCTGCAGCATCGCCTCTATTTCTCGAGCATCTTTTGCTATGATGAGTAAAACATCGTCTGCGAAGGATGAATGATTCAACTGTTCGCCGTTGATGTTCAGACCACTCTTCCAGTGCATTTTGCGGAACACCCTCTCCAGGCAGGCATTAAAGAATTTGGATGACAAGGGACGCCCGTCTCACGCATTTCTCGATCAGCGTACGAATTACGTTCGAGAAAAGCGTTATATCGGTCGAGCATTCTGTTTTTGATTCGTCGAAGATTTCAACATAGTTTTCATCAATTCTGTTTTTTGCAGAAGCTTTCGGACAGCGTTAAGTTTCATGCTGTCAAATGCCTTCTCGTAATGGATGAAAAGAAGACCTAAGAAAAATTTATACCCTCTAGCAAGCTCTGGCAGTTGGTTTAGCGTGAAGAAGTTGTCCGCAGTGTTATATTTGCTTCTAAATCCTTCTTGTTGCTCTCGGCTGCTGTGAGGCGGATGCAATGATTCTCGTGAACAGCTTACATGTGGGAGAGCAAGCAGATCGGACGATAATCCTCCACGTCTTCTTTATCGCCTTTTTTATGGAGCAGAACGGTCCTCGATTCCTTCCAGCTGCTACGGATGGTTTTCTCAGTCAGGTAGCGATTGAATCTTGCGACGAGTGCCTTCCAAAGTGCGTACACACCGGCTTTCATTAGCTCAATGCTATTTCCGTCGTTACCGGGAGCGTTTCTACTTTTCATCTGAAAGATTACGTTTCTTACGTCATTGGCCAGCACCGTGAAAGTTTGTTTCTTTGCGGTTCGAATTTCCAGTGTTAGTACCTCGACACATTGCGCAAGGAGTTTCTTGCAGAACTTTCTACATAATTCTTCCATATCTGTTCGGTCGGTGATTCGACGACCATACCCCTTTTGCAGCGCTGCTGCAGTTTGATGGTGTAACAGCGTTTTCTTTCTGCATTTTTAAGCTTTGTTTTCTTTGAACCGCCTTAATTTGCCTTCAACAACTGTAGTCTTCGAGGTCCTCCTTCAGCTTCTTACGAATTAGCCTGTAGAGAATATTGTATTCTACATGCCTGATTTTATCCATCTTCAAGGTTCTACTCATTTCAAGCAGTTCTTTTGTTATCTCTGAGACCCTCGAATTCAGTCATCGAGGCTGAGCATCTTCGGCTCTTTTTGAGCACCAAAGAAGCTTCTCAGTGAAATTTTGGTAATCTTGCTCAATGCTGGCCGTCATGGTCCAGTCGGTAGTTCCGACTTGCCATTCCATCTCTCCTTGATCGATTTCCATTGGCCTTTATCCGTGATACGACACATGCAGTACCGTTTCTTTAACAGCCGAAATTATGTGTATTCTTGGCCGCAACATGGGTTGATCGTTTCCTGTGTTGAACGAGAGTATTACCGAGACAAACTTCAAAATGTGCTGCGTATGGACCAAAATATAGTCGATTTTATTTTTCGCAGCTGAGTTTGGTGTGACCCATGTCCATCTCCTTCCTACTTTCTTTCGGAACCAAGTGTTACCGCTGAGCATTTGTTGGCCTCTGTCATCGCTGCCATTCTATTACCCCTGTTGTTTCGCTCTCCTATACCGAACTTGCCAGTGTGCTTCTATCCGGCTTCCCCCCCCCCTCGACCAAGTTTT